TAGGTTATTTCTAGTTAATGTTTCTTTCATAGAAAACTGTCTCAAACAGAAAGGATACATTTTAAAATGTCAACAAGTAACTTTGCCCTTAGAATAAAAGAAAAGACACTTGGTAGATGTTAGGGAAATACTGCAACCATGAATAGAAAATTTTTATATCTTTAGTCCAAATGATTGCTCTGTGTCATGAAAAGCAAGGAGTTTCGTCACATGCTAGGAAGGTCTGAGGTCAGCTGCATTGTAGAAATGGTTTGAGTATCAATCACAATAGGTGAATGGATAGGAGGTGCATATTTCAGAACTTTTTTCCAGACACAAAGAAAAACAAAACTATTATTTGCAGACAAGTGGATGAAACAGGATCGGCATATTAGATAAGAGAATCCAGGAGGCAAACATGGCAAACTTTCTCTTATATATTGAATCCAGTTTAAAGGATATGACGGTGGATACAGGACATATGAGATAAAAGCACACTGCACACATGTTCGTGTGCAATTTAGTCATACTGCAAACCTGGTGAAGACTTTTTACATCTCCTGGAACAGTGAACTAAGAAAAGTTTTAAAATGACATGCCCTGTGGGACTTTAGAATTTGTTATAGAATGTAAACTAAATTGATAATTTTGAGGCCATAATTATTGACAAATCACTGACAAAAAGAGAACATTTTGAGGTTTAGCACTTTTCAAATCATATTTCAACACATTATATAGACAATGTTAATATGTTATGTGTATCTGAGATAATGGTCTCTTTTTAGGGATAGGTTTAAATATCGGGCCACACATTCTACATTTCGTTAGATGATCTTTCGAGAATGATTGCAACAACTCTAGCAAGAACATTTATGAAATAAATTTTTCTACAAAGGCTGATCTATGCTGGTCATTATCAGTTTTGTTCATGTGACCATATTTTGGAATGTTTCAAGCATGTTTGTTTCTGTATGAATATTTTCCTATATATTGTTGCTCAAATTTCTATGTTTTTTCATATCTTTATTCCCTAAATTACTTCTAATAAGTATTTTTCATTACTATAGTTGTCCCAACCTGTAGGACAGCAACCTAGAGCAAGAAGTCCAGGGAGGGAAGGGAGACAAGACTCGAGAGAGTGACCACAAGACAGGATTCTGATCAAGTGGCAAATTTTATTTTTTCCAGGCAAGCTTATATAGTAAGTAGTATGGAGTAAACGGGAGGGGGAGAAGAGGACAAGAGCCAGGTGTTAGTTCAAGCAGGATATTAGAAAACCATAGAAGGAGGATGTTGGCAGGGTAAAAAGTTCATGGGTGGTGGGGAGAGGAGGGAGGGTTACCTAGGTAAGTGATGGGACTCAGGAGGGTTGCGTAGGTAAGTGATGGGACTCAGGAGGGTTGTGTAGGTAAGTGGGCCTGTGGTTGGAACAAAGGATTGATGTCTGGGTCATGTTGTTCCTTTTGGGTGCTCATGCTTCTAGAAGTCATTTATAATCAAAAGACAGTTCTATAATCATGTGGCTTGCCAAGTTTGGCCTAAAGGTTCATGCCAAGCTGTATGGCTCCCAACACATATATTTTGTTTCATTCTTTCAAATATTGTTCCAGTTTCATAGTTTCTGAAATCTATTCCCAGTATACAAAATAACAAACAGGGATTTCACAATCCTCAGAAAGACAGCTCATATTAAAATGATGATAAAAGACAGGTTCTGGGAGAGTGCAGAGAAAATGGAATGCTTGCCCACTATTGGTAAATCTTAAGTTATTTTAGCTGTTGGAAATGTAAATATCACAAAAACAAAAGTACGTGGTTATAGAGTCCAGTAACCTACCTCCGGAGCACTTCCTCCTAAGATTTGAAGTCAGTTTGTAGAAGAGATGCCTTTACTTCTATGCTCACTGCAGCACAATTCACAATAGTAAAAGTAGGACTCAAACTTCATCCATGAATAGGCGAATGGGTAAAGAAAATGTGTGTGTATAGTATACGTGTATATGTACATATATGTGTGTGATTATATTTATATGTTTGTGTGTTTATATCTGCTTAAAGTGAAAAGAAGAACCTTCGCTTATTTCTAAAACTGTTGAGAAACATATTGCTAATTTATGCTAATTGACAAAAGCTAGGTTAAGGAAGACTCCAGAGACTCCAGGGTGTGGCCTCTCTTGTGTGTGGAGTTTGAAGCCTTCATGCACCTAGACACAGGACAGGATGGTGTTTTTCAGAGGCAGGAGAGTGGGAAGGATTATGAGATGATGGGATAAGGTACAAATATCAGATTGGAAGAATGCTGTTTCTTTTCAGAGTTATTGCCCAGCATGGTGAATATATTTTAGTAACAGTGTATTATATCTTTCAAAATTGCTAAGAGAGTTAATTTCAAGTGTTCTCATCACAAAATGATGTTTTGTGGTACATTAATCAGCTCAATTTATTCCTTCCATATGTACTCAGAAATCAGAGTGTTGGCTTGTACCCTACAAACATAATGTGATTATTAGTTGTCAATCAACAATAAGATATAACAGAAAAGAATTAACTGTGCCCACTTCTTTATACAACGCAGTAATTCTATCATCGCAACATTGAAAAAAGAAACAAGCCTGTGTGTCTTCCACTAAGCTTAATTAGCTTGAATGATGTGTAACCCATTATCCTTGTAAATATTTTACATTTCAAAGTGTTAAGATCCACTTCATTCTGCAAACACAGAAACTGGCCAATTTATCTTAGTAAGACAGATACTTTATTTCAACCACAAATATTTTTATGTAGTCTTCTAAAAGTGTTGAGTGATTCTTAAACTTCTTCTTCTTCTTTTTTTTTTCAGTGAAATGTGAAAGTGATACCAACCATGACAAAGGCTGGCACGATCACAGGTTGATTAGATAAAATGTCTGCTATTCTCAACTTACCAAAACTGTTATTTTGATTTTTTGACTTTTTTAAAAATTAGAAACAAGCTTCTTTTACATGTCAATCCCAATTCCCTCTGCCCCCCTTTTCCCCTTTCCCCTCCAATCCCAACCCTTTTCTGTTCCCCAGGGAGGGCGAGGCCTTCCATGGGGGATCATCAAAGTCTGTCATTTGGAACAGGGCCTAGAGCATCCCCCATGAGTCTAGGCTGAGAGAGTATCCCCCTATGTGGAGAGGGCTCCCAAAGTTCCTTTGTGTACTCGGGATAAATACTGATTCACTACCAGTGGCCCCATAGATTATCCAGACCTCCAAACTGACTTCCTCCTTCAGGGGGTCTGGAACAGTCCTCTACTCGTTTCCCACCTATGAGTCTGGGGTCCATGAGCAACCCCTTGTTCAGGTCAGCTGTCCTAGTGGATTTCTCCAGTCTTGTTCTTACCCCTTTGCTCATCACTCCTCCCTCTCTGTGACTGGATTCCAGAGTTAAGCTTAGTGTTTAGCTGTGGGTGTCTGCCTCTGCTTCCATCAGCTACTGGATGAAGGCACTAGGATGGCCTATAAGGGAATCATCAATCTCATTATTGGAGAAGGGCATTTAAGGTAGCATCTCAACCACTGATTAGATTGTTAGTTGGGGTCAAACTTGTAGATCTCTGGACATTTCCCTAGTGCCAGAATTCTCTTTAAAACTGTAATGGCTCCCTCTATTGTGGTATCTCTTTTCTTGTTCTCAATTCTTCCACTGACTAAATCTTCCTGCTTTCTCATGTCTTCCTCTCCCCTCCTCTGAAGAGATCACTCCGCAGTCTGTAAGGCTAAGATTTCTTTATTTAGATGAACACCAGCCAAGTGCAAGCCAGAGCGTGCCAGGGGCAGTAAGGCAGCCAGGCCAGAGAGAGAAGGGAGAAGGGACTCTCCACGTGTGCACAGGTCCCTTAAGAACCGTTCCTGAGTCACCTTAGACTTCCCCTCACACCTGTCTGGGCTACTAGGAGGCGGGGCTACAGTGTCTCCCTACAATTCCCCTTTTAATCTAAAAGAGGATTAAAACTTAATAGTGTAAAACATCCAAAATTAACAATCATAAAGGTGAAATATAAGAAGATACAATAATCTGTAGTTGCACATCCTAACTATGTCTATTCCGGCTAAGCCCTCAAGACATGTGGAAAGGGTGTCTAACTTGAACACCTCCTTCCAATCCCAACTCTAAACAATAAGAAAGTTATTCCTAACTAGCCTTACACTACTCTAATAAACAACAATGGGGAACGGGGGCATAGCATCTTCTAAGTTACTTCCTGTTGAAATGGGACGATGGTAGCCTTGTGGGGTCCTGTGGAAAAAATGTTAGCACAGGGAAAGTCTCTATTGGGTTATCTCCAGTCCATGTTAGATGGGATTTGCTTGATTGAAGATCTAGGTTGAAATCCTCAACTTGATTGAAGTCAGTACTCAAGGTGCTGGCGGGGTGTCAGTTGAAATGGAGTGAGTTGAATCCAGTATATTCAGAGAGGTATGGTCCAATTCTTTTTCTGGAGCATGCAGGGATTGTCGTCAGGCAGGTCTTCATTGGCTGTATGGGACTCAAACATAAGTGTCGGCAGAGAAATGTTTGCTTGAACATGTATGTGTACTGGGAAAGGCAACCATTGAAAAACGACAATTATGAGAGGGCGTAGGCCGTGAAAGAAAGAGCCAAGAAAAGACAAAGATAGTCCTCCAATTCTTCATTTATTCTGTGTTACATCAATTGGCTTCTTGATATAACACAGAAACTTTAAAATTTTGTTAAATAACATGCTTGGATTTTAGGGGAGGAAAGCCAAATCCAACTTTAAATCCAGCATTGATTTAATTGAATAGGGACTAGGAAATGAAGAGAAATAGTTATTTGAGAGACAGCTGTAAAGTTTACCGTATGGCACGTTCCTTTTGTTCGATGGTTATAGCTACCTTCTTTCCTTAAGTATCTACACATGTAGTGTCCTTTGACTTCCGGAGGTGGGTTTTCCTGTGAGGATAAAAACAAAGCACTTCCCATTCCTTTGGGAAGCTTTTATTTAGGTCATGAGATATACCTCAGTAAATACCTGTCAGTTGTCCTTGTTGAGGGGGTTGTCTTTTCAACTCGAATCTTGATCGATTTTGATGGTATCCAAAGATTTTCTTCTCCTGTGGAAACAAATGCAAAACCCCCACCCCAACGTATCACATGTCCGGGTTTCCATACCGAGGTCAGTACATCTTTGAAGTACACTGGTTGATTCAGTTCAGCAGTTGTACAGGGTTCTTTTGGCTATCCTGGGTCTTTTGTTTTTCCATATAAAGTTGAGAATTGTTATTTTGATTTTTATGTGCTCCTTAAAATCATTTTGTTTAGTACATAGTTGATTTGAGATGCACCAGCTATTTTGCCAATATTTTGTTTCAGACAGGTAGACTGTGATCTGTGTTTTAAAGAAGATAAAAGTAAGGCTTAAAACAGCTAGATAATTTGCCTCATTCTAAGAGCTGCTTACATTGAGCTTTGTGCTGTGAGCTAGTGTTTTATGGAGAAGCCTCATCACTCCGTCCAATGATGAAGTCAGTTGTCCACAGAGGCAAAGGACTCTTACCTAAATATACCATTGTTTCTCTTTCTGTTTTATTAATGGAACAATTTTTAGTATTTATTTTGTTGTTAGGGATGAATTTTGACTGTGATTGGACATTCTGTGAATCAGTGGTTGTAGGAGGTGGAGCTGTTTACAACTCATAGTGAAAACTTGCCAGCTGTTTTTCAGATGGGAGACAGACTCAAAAACCCATCCTTTATCCATGTCTGGATGTTTTAGTTCACTGGCTTCTGTGAAGGCTGATCCTCACAAGAAAACCTTTGTCTCATAGGTAACACATGATAGAGCATGTAGCTGATGGAGTTAATTTAACCTTCAAACATGAAAGCACTTTAATTATATCAAGAAAAGAGAGAGAGAGAGAGAGAGAGAGAGAGAGAGAGAGAGAGAGAGAGAGAGAGAGAGAGAGAGAGAGAGGATCAAAGTAACACAATTTCTTTCTTTTTTTGTCAGGTATGTGCCAGTTTTGGAGAAGCCAGAGGCAATACACATGTACCAAAAAGACTGAATTTTCTGCACAAAACTGTTATTACTAGTCTTTACTTGTCCTGTCCATAGGAAGTTCATGTCATGGTAAAGGTGCTATAATTAATAAAATCTAGTTTACATTAAGGAAAAATAATAGCAAAAGGGAGGTTGACAATCAGCCTATCAGCTCCTTAGCTTCATGGTGGAAATGCACCAAATCAGGGTGGAATTTGAGCTTTGTATCATGGTAAAGGATGATGTATGCCATGACAGGCAAGGGTGTGAATAGTGGGGAAGGTGAACTTGCTTTCTCTGGAGCCTGGGGACTTGTTGCTACTCTTGACTTGGGCCATACCAATGTAAGCCACAGTTTCATCTTAAGATCAGCTAATCATCAATATCTCTGGTGTGCCAATATCAATATTGGCACACTGGTCACCTCCACTGCCTAGAGAGAAACCCAGGTCTCCATGGACTAGAAAAGGCTGATTTTTCCATACCTGTGTAAATACTGAAGACAATGCCACTGCCTGCTGTTTTATTATCCCAGAAGATGACCCATGATGTGTAAGACACCTCTTTAGTGGCTTCTGTCTTTCATCAATCACAGACTGTACCCTTTGCATTATATTTGTTGTGCAATTTGTATCACAAGAAGGTCAAATTGGACAGTCCTTTTAGGGGACCAGAACAGTGATCAAATATGTGATAAAATTAGGAAGTAAATTAAATTTCCACTAAGGGACTTAGATGATAAATGATGTGGCCCCACTCAGGGTCACTACATGGCTTCTATTACACCTAAGTTTCCATTGGCATGCTTGTCCTTCAGTCTTGTCCCTTGGTTGGACAGGAAGTAGATGCATTGCAGTTTTTTTTTTTTTTATTGTGAGTATGGCTGCCAGCCACAGTATCCTTGTGCTCATAGCAGGCAGCACTTTTCAGAGGACATTAATTTCTCTCATTGTAGAACAAGATGGTCTAAAAATAGGCATTTTATTTATAAAGCAAATTGCAATTCTTTGATACTGCAGAGTAAAAGGCAAGCCTGTAAAAATTGTAGCTGATTAGAGTCTGTGTGTCTTTTGACCTGCACACTCTTGCAAAGTCCAACACTGAACAAATAAGTGCTTAATTTTAGTTCCCCTCTAATTCGTGAAATCATGGTGCTTTGTGGGAAGGGTGCCCATCTCCTGTTGCTCTTTTAATTGTTAGGTAAAAGAAATGGCTCCTTACTCATCTCTGTTTTTGCAACAATCTTATTTCCCTTTGCAAACAGCAGGATGCTTTTTTTTTTTTTTGTTCATGCTGGTAATCAAAGTATAAAAACTCTGTTTTGATGCAGAGGGAGAGAGAAACAAGGAGAGACAGAGACAAAGATTGAATGTGTCAGCCAAATGAATAAGATATGCCTCACTGGGTGGTAAGTTGAAATAGAAGCAAATAAATTCAGGTGCACCTAGCGAGAGACTCCATTTTCTGCTGCCTTGTACACTTGTAGTAATTGCAGAAGTCCACAGAAGATGGAAAAGATAAAAGTCAATGTCTGCCAGAAAGTTTAGGTCCTTTGTATTGAGGATGAAAAATGGCCTTTGGGGAGTACATAGAGTTCTTCAAAGGCTGCGACGTCCTGAATACCAAGCAGCCTCACTGGACAGATTCCCTTCAGAAATGCTGAGCAGAGGAATTGATGGCAGCTGCCAACATAGATGGCTAGGAAGGTGCTCACTGATGAATGATTCATCTTAGCTAATGCCATGCAGAATACACTCTTTCCTTTAGCTAGGATTAGGGAAGGTAAAGATGCCACAGTTCAACACACACATTTCACAGTTTTAGTTTTGCCTGGCTGTGTTGCAACCCACGGTGTTCAGAGCCTTTGCCTGGTTTTTATCTTTATTGACCAGCTCTTTGGCCTTTTACTTTACTATGAAATGCTCCAGGGACAGCATGGCATCACAGGTTTTGTCACTGCCAACCTAGAGAATGGATGGGGTTTCCTAGGTCATAGGAACTAAAGCCACTAGGGATGGAAAATAATAGCTATTAGCACTTATTTCTCCCCCATGCTATATTTTCTTACTTGTCATATTATGTCTTTATATTTTACTACAAGTATACATTTGTAATGATGCTATGCCCTATGAGGGTGGTTCTGAGGACATACACTAGTTACTATTTAACCATATTTTTGGACTAATATTATTTGAATATTATTAGCGATATTAGTATTTTAATATTATCTTAATTCTCTAGGTTGTGAAAGAGACAGATCAACTAAACTGTTTAATAGATTCATGCGAAATGAATGCAATTGGGTTATTTCTAGCTTCTGTTTTTTTTTTTTTTTTTTTGAGACAGGGTTTCTCTGTGGCTTTGGAGGCTATCCTGGAACTAGCTGTTGTAGACCAAGCAGGTCTCAAACTCACAGAGATCTGCCTGCCTCTGCCTCAGCTTCTGTTTTTTTAATGTTATACCTAAAACTTTATCTAAAATAATGATCAGTAACATAGTCTCTCTTTTAATGACTGTTTTGAGAATTGGAAATGTTTTTGGTGTTTTAATTGTAAATTTTGTGAACAAAAATAAGTACCTGCATAAAATCCCACAGTATCCAGAATCACTAAGTGCGGATAGACTTGGGCAGAAATGTTTTTCAGGACTGCAAAAAGAAAAGATAACATCACATTTATTACAGAGGTATGAGGCTTTAAAAATATAGGAGGGTTAGCAATATTTAATTGAATCACTGAGAAAATGTGTTTCATGATATTGTGACCTTGTTCAGTCACTAAACTCTTCCTGGAGGAAGATTCCAATTTTCTCTTCCACATGTAGACTATAAAATACCGGGAACTTTTCTAAACACTGGTCTTAAACCTTGAGAATCACCCCAAAGATATAATAAATACGAGTGCTTCTTTAAATGAACTGTTAAAGAAACAGTTATCACTGAGTGATTTTATGAAATGTTAAGAGAAGTAGTACTTGCTTATCTAGAACTCTGCACACATACTACAAAATGGGAGCATTTAGAAATAATCCCAAAATAAAATGGAATATTCTTTGGCTAACTATGTGTTCTGAGCTGCCAGAAGATATCCTTCTAGGAAGAAAAATGTCCAAAAGAATTTGCCTGTGTAGTAGAGGTATGCTTCTCAAAGACTCTTACTGTCTCTGGAAATATTTAAAGAATGTTGAATAAATATGCCAGTTTCAGAAGGGAAGATAGTTCAATTATTTCTGATTTTGCAGTAATTATTGAAGACCTTAAATTATTTGAAAACTAAATATGTGTTACTCTTTTATATCAGATAACACATTAAGTAGGTTGCCATTGAATAATGTATTTCATAGCATTTATGTGTTGGTATTGTTTTGTTTGTTAATGTGTTGTTATAGTATTGTGGTAATGCTATCACTGTGATTGATAAACATATCAAAAAGAATCATTGAAGCACAAATAAACAGATGGCTATAGCGGCCTAAATGCAATCCTGAATGACCTCCGTAGTATGAATAATGAACAGATCTCATTGCCAAAACTCCAGAGATGAATTTGTTAGGAGAATCAGACAAAGGAGAATATGGACACTTGATTTTTGACAAAGAAACCAAAATTATACAATGGAAAAAAGAAAGCATTTTCAACAAATGGTGCTGGCATAACTGGATGTCAGCATGTAGAAAGATGCAGATAGATCCATATCTATCACTCTGCACAAAACTCAAGCCCAAGTGAATAAAAGACTTCAACACAAATCCAGATACACTGAACTTGATAGAAGTGAAAGTGAGAAATAGCCTTGAATGCATTGTCACAGAAGACAACTTCCTGAACAGGAAGGACACCAATAATGGAGACACTAAAATCAACAATAAATGGGACCCCACAAAACCAAAAAGCTTCTGTAAGGCAAAGGACACTGCTAATAGGACAAAATGTCAGCCTAAAGAGTGGGAAAAGATCTTTGCCAATTCCACGACTGACAGAGGGCTGATTCCCAAACTATATAAAGAACTCAAGAAACTAGACATCAATAACCAAACAACCCAATTAAAAAATGGGGTACAGATCTAAACAGAGAATTCTCAACAGAAGAATCTCAAAAGGCCTAGAAACAAAGAGATGTTAAACATGCTTAGTCATCTGGGAAATGAAAATCAAAATGACTCTTGAGATTCTGTCTTATGCCTGTCAGAATGACTAAGAGTAAAGCACAAATGACAGCTCATGCTGGGGACATTGGATTTTTGTTTTTTAAATTGATAATCTATTTGACTCATATCTGTTTGTAAATTCAGTTAACTTGTATTTTAAGTTTCATTCCACATAAAATGCACTCACATGCAGTGCTATATTCAAAAAGCTTATATATATATACACTTAGTAATAAGTAAAATGACAAATATTTTACTCTAAGAAAACGCAGCATGAATAATTTTCCAATTAATAAGAAAACAGGTATGTTTTCTCATCTTTTAACTTCATAACTTGGTTGCAAAAATAATCAGTTATACAGAATATAATTTAATCCTTGCCACATAAAGGAAAGGAGTTTATGACCAGAGAGTGTTCCTTTTATGTTTCAGGAAAAGAGAATACTAAATTGTAATTTAAGACTTTAAAGATTGCTATTGGGCTTCTTATTGAGCAATCACTACAAATTGAGGAGGGAAAGCCTTCCTGCAAGAAGCTGATGATTACCCTTTTCTGGTTTCTTGTTTTTAGGTGATATGTATAAACATAAAAATTGTATATGTTGATAGAATATCACATGTTTTTCAATCCATGTATAAATTTCATGTTTGGGTTCAAAATCTGTGTCTCTTCATGCATTTATCATATTCAAAATTATCTTCTCTAGCATCTTAAGATATACAGTAATGTACTACAACCTACCTTTTGAGGAATATTCCAGATATCAATGGACAAATGGACAAGGTCCTAGAATTAAAACACCAGGAACATGAAAAGACAATACAACCTATCTCTCCCTCAAACTTCCAATCTCATGGTAATGGCCTCTAATGAAAATAGCCAGTACAAAATTCTAGGAATACAAAAGAATGATAATAAATGTGGTCAAATAACTCAAAGAAGTCATGAATATATTCCATACTACAAACAGCTGTATGGAATAAAGAAACCAAATCAAGATAAGAAAATTGAATGTAATAAAGAGATAGAAATACTCAAGAAAAAAAAAACCAAATGATGGAGGTAAGGTGATGGCTTATAAAAGGAAAGAGGTAGTAGATTACAGATAAAGTGAAAGGAGAGAGTTGGCAGACTAGGGGTAGAAAGACTTAAATAGGGAGGGACTAAGGACTGTGGAGGAAATAGGAAAGGAAGGCAACGCAAACAAAAGGTATGGAGGCCTACTTATCTCACAAATCAATTAAAGTATAATTAGAGAATAGGATAAATGAAATAAGAAGGAAAACGGGGAAAATCCTGGAGGCTAAAAGAGTAAGTGGAGATGGTGGTTGAGAGATGTCGGAGAGGAAAGAAGTGTGGGTGGTATAACCAAAGCAAAGAATATGTGAAAATGCCTTGTCCAGATTCACTAGTTAGTAAGCTAGTTAGTTCAAAACACATCAACACAACAAAAGCAACAATGAAAGTTTTTGAATGAAATTACCCCATTTCCTTGCAAATCAAAACAACTCTGAGATACTATCTTACTCCTGTCAGAATAGCTAAAATAAAAAACACTAATGACAGTTTATGCTGGAGAGGATGTGGAGAAAGGGGAACACTCCTCCACTGCTGGTGGGAGTGCCAACTTGTACAGCCACTTTGGAAATCAGTATGGCGACTCCTCAAGAAAATGGGAATGAGTCTACCACAAGATCCAGCAATTCCACTCTTAGGCATATACCCAAAAGAAGCACATTCAAACAAAAAAGACATCTGTTCAACCATGTTCATAGCAGCACTATTTGTAATAGCCAGAAACTGGAAGCAGCCTAGATGCCCCTCAACTGAAGAATGGATAGAGAAATTGTGGTACATTTACACAATGGAATACTACTCAGCAGAGAAAAAACAATGGAACTTGAAATTTGCAGGAAAATGGATGGGACTCGAAGAAACCATTCTGAGCAAGGTAACCCAATCACAGAAAGACAAACTTGATATGTACTCACTCATATGTGGATTTTAGACATAGAGTAAGGGATTACCAGCCTACAATCCACACTGCCAGAGAAACTAGTAAACAAGGAGGACCCTAAAAGAGACAAACTTTGTTCCCTGGAGAAGGGGAAAGGGTCACCATCCCCTGAGCAAATTGAGAACATGGGAAGAGGAGGGAGGGAGCTAGGAGAATGAGAAGGGAAGAAAAGGAAGAATGCAGAAGTCATGAGGGAGCAGAAAGGTTGTCAGGGGAAGAATAGAAGAAAGGGTATGTGATAGGTAGGGTTTTAGTTGGGGGTGGCGGTAGGGGAGGAAGGGAAGGAGAAGGGAACTGGGATTGTCATGTAATTCAATCTTGTTTGTAATTCAAATAAAAAAAAGTCAAAAAAATTAAAAAAAGCAAGAAAAAAATAAAAGAAATTACCCCATTTCCGAAGTGAAACCTTAGAGGTCTTAAAAAACACTTACAGATTATTGCCACAACCTTTTGTTACTCATTATATTATAAAATAAGAACATATTTCTGGAGATACCACACACTTGGCTGTAGGACACAGAAACGTCATTCTTGAACTGGCCAAAATTTCTGCCCTATTGGTTAGCTTTTTTTTTTTTTTTTTTTTTTTTGACAAAGAAGAAAGTTAATTGTCTTACCCATCACTGGATCCTGTGTACTGCAACAATGACCTATCAGGTCAAATGTCCCCACTCATGCAATAATGGCACAGTTGTTCTAGGGCAAGGGTCTGCTTTCTGGTTGGGCTTGAGGCTTGAACCACAGGAGGGGATTTCATTCCTATTGGTGTAATTTTGGTTAAAAGCCCATTGTTGGGGAGATCAGAAGCCCAATGGTAGAACCTACTATTACCATTGTTCTGAATGGTCATGTTTTCAATTTGTCTTCAAAATATCTATGTTTATACCCATATACCGAGGCTACTTTCAACTTTGCCAGAAAACTCCCCCACCCTTTTTTAGTAAGCAGTAGTTAATGCTGCGATGCATAACTGGTCAAAGTGCTGAGAAGAGACACTGAATATTTATCTCTAAATAAGATAACTTTCTCATTCCATAACCCCCGAAGTCCAGAGGACATCATAAAAGAGAATATGGGAATAATGTAAGGGCTCGAGGATGTGGAAGAGTGCCTTAAAAGCCAACTTCTAGATTTCACATGTGTGCCATGTTCACAAACTTATATGGGCTACCTGTTTGAGAATTATGGAAGCTCAGCACTGCCAAAATTCTGGCACAGATATGGAAGATACTCTTTAAGTCCTATCTTTTACTGAGGTATTATCAGCAGTTGATAGCTGCTGGGTGAGGGGGAATAATTTTTTTAAAAATATGTAGCCAGTAGTGTATTTCTCATGCTCTGTGGATGACTATATACATATACAGATGGATAGCATTAATTGGGCTTAGTAGACTATAAAAAGAAAAAGAGGCCATAATGTTGAGAAGAGCCATTTTGGCAATTATTTTTGGGAGGACTGGAAGAGGAAAAATGGGATGGATAT